GGCACCGAGGTCAGGCTGACAGGCCTGCAGTTCCCCAGATCCTCCTTCCGGCCCTTCTTGTAGATGGGCGTCACATTGGCCAGCCTCCCGTCATCCGGGACCTCCCCCGTTAACCAGGACTGCTGATAGATGATGGAGAGCAGCTTGGCTAGCTCCTCCGCCAGCTCTCTCAGCACTCTCGGGTGGATCCCATCCGGCCCCATAGACTTGTGAGTATCCAGATGACGTAGCAGGTCGTTGACCGCTTCCTCTTGGATTATGGGGGGTTCATCCTGCTCGCCGTCCCTGTTTTCCAGCTCAGGGCGCCGAGTACCCTGAGGGTAACTAGTCTGATTGCTAAAGACTGAGGCAAAGAAGGCATTAAGTACCTCAGCCTTTTCCTCATCCTCGGTGACAATGTTCCCCCCCGCATCCAATAAAGGATGGAGATTCTCCCTGGCTCTCTTCTTGTCATTAATGTATTTGTAAAAAATTTTTTTGTTGTCTTTAACGACAGCGGCCAGGTTGCGTTCTAGCTGGGCTTTTGCCTTTCTCATTTCCTCTCTGGATGACCTAACGAGATCCCTGTACTCTTCTTGAGTCACCTGCCCCTTCTTCCACAAGTGATAAACTCTCCTTTTTTTCCTGAGTCCCAGCAAATATGCCATGGATCCAAGCCTTCTGAGAGCAGGCCATGGAAAGAACGATGTAAAGATTTTAGGGAAGAAGCTACAGCAGAGGGAGTAAAGGATATCTCAGAGAAACACAGTGGGTTTCTGTGAAAGCCTTTACCTAAAGGCAGAGTATAGACCAAGAGCAACCCTGAAGTGGTAAATACTGCCGCAGTGGATGCTAGTAGCAAACACCAGCTTATAAACTTGGGTTATAGCATAGTGTCAGAGTCTTTGTACATTCATAACTTTCTAAAAAAGGTGCCTTCTACATAGAACTGGTATACCTAAACTGACTGTAACCATCAATCTCTAGTTGTTTTTACAGCAGACAACTTCCACAGCTCTTTCTCAGCTCTGTCTACTGCCCCACTCTCCAAACACCAAAGCCACATGGCTATTTCTATTTCCCCTGACTGAAAGGCAGCTCTGATTCATTAGAACTGAGAATTTCAGAAGCACCACATGAATTACTGCTGAGCTACCATTTCAGGCCAACTCCTTTTTATCACATAAGCACTCAGTTTCATTATATGGTTAACTGAGAAACCTAAGGAAGTTTATTCCAGTGGTATAATTTTTCCTCAGCTAGTGTCTTCCTTCCTAAAAACATGAGGAAATTGAAGAAGAGTTTCCTACTGAGTTTGGGAAGGGCCTATGTTAATATTTCAAATTGCAGAACTGATTCAAATCTGGAGAGGAGGATCAAAATAAAAAAAAGTTTGGGGATCTCTCTTTGCTACAAAAGGGAAACAGTTCTAACTGTTCTAAACTTGTAGAACCTACGTAGCCTAGTTTCTTACTGTGTTCATGCTCTTTTTCTCTGAGCTAAAAATACAGTTAAGCTCAAGTGGCAGCCTGTCTCTCACTGAAGGCATTCATTTAGGTTTCTTTTCTCCACACAGCTGCCCATTTTCATCAGGCATGTAGGAACAGATTACCTTTGAGAACTCTAATCCTTGTCAAATTTGCGTGCAATTACAGAAATGGTTCAAGGTTACTTGGAGGGGGAAGGGAGAAATGGATGGGAGATGCCTGACAAACAGAACATATCATATATATGCCTTGTCTCTTAAGGAAGCCAGACTATAAAACCAATATTGAGGCTCAAGCACAGAGTATATGCACAGATCCCAGAGAAAGAACAGTATCAGCTAATCAAAGGCTGATATCGAATTTGTTCCTTAGTGCTTATGTCCACGTAATTTTTTTAGAGATTTGCTTTGTGACATCAGTTTGTATGGGAAGCTATATATGTGCACCATATCACGCACAATGAAGCAATTTAGGACTTAAATATATCTAAAATATTTGCACCAGATAAGAAATCATGACTGGGAACATATGGAAATTTTAAAATAAAAAAAAAAGGAGGACATAGAGAAGGCATTTCAGATACTTTTTCATCATGTAAATTGAAGATACTTACCAGTTTGTAGCATATTGCAAATGCAAGTAGATAGGTTTCTTTATTGAAAGGTATACCTTGTTTTTTCATTTCTACCAGAACTTCCAAAGCACCTATCAAATATACATTAGTGTTACTCACTTCACAAATTTAAGCCTGTACATTTAGTAACTGGAAAAAAAAAATTTCCATGTGTTATGAGCTCAGTCTATTTCAAAATACAAATGTAAACTGAAATGTTATTTTTTAAAAAATTAATACATTTCAAAAAGTTTAATTTAGAGTCAGCTGGATGTAAATATTTCTTCCCAGCAAGGAGGTTTTCAATCTACGTTAGCATGTGGCCTTAGAGTTCTATTATTTTCATACAAATCTAAAACTAAATTCTAGATACTTGACAAAGCCACTCTAATTCTTTCTAACTGCCCAGAAAGTAAGCCTTTTAAACACATGATCAAAGCTTCCACCCTTTTAGGCAAACTATCTAACAGCTCCGCCATAATGCACATGCTCCACTACACCACAAGACTGCATTCAGGCTCTGATCTAGTTATTTTTACAGTGGCTCAGTCTCAACTTTCAGGACAACCGCTGGACTTAGATTTGCCAAATATCAAGAGACCATTCGCTGTGTGTTCAACAAATTTCAAATAAAGCTATTTGCTTGAAAAGCTTACTCCATACCGAATTTAAGATTTTCTCATGGAAAGCCTTTTCTGTCAGGTCAGATGATTCCCCCTTATCCTTACAAAGGGCCAAACTCATCTGAAGCATTTGACTTAAATATTGCAGTAGCCACTCTGTGTGGGCACACTAGTAAGACAAACCAAGAGAAGACTATGGTCTGGTTTTGTTATCAAAGGAAAAAGGATACTCTTCCCTGCTCTGACACAAATGCAGAACTGCCAAAAAAATTGTTGAAGAACTTACTGTTCCAAAAACCACGTAAAACACACTTTAAATAGAGAAAACAAAAATCTGTGGGAAATTACAAACCAAAGAGAAGTTAAGCCTTCAGAGAAGAGGGTTTAGGAAACAAGTGCCCCTGGATAATCACAATTCGGTGCAACTGAGAATAGTAAGAATACCATTGGAAGTATGAAACAAATACAGCCTTCCATTTTTATTACACACTACAGTGCAGCTCATTCACAACTACACTGATTTACATGATGTTTGGCCTTCTAAAACCATAAACCAATCAGCAATATTCATTAAAAATATATAGTTACATACACACACACACTTACAGTGAGAAGCATCCTCCTCAAAATGCATTTGCCCTAGCTAACACAGTACTTACTTTCAAAATGGCCCTTTTTAAACAACATAGTCATCAAAATATGGAACGATGTACTCTCTGAGAAAAAACCACGCAAATTCTGGAGAAGAAACATACAAACAGAGCAAGCGTAAAGAAAGTTAGGACAGTGAGCATTCTTGGTGTGCACAGCATTTAGCACGTCTTCCTACTGGAATAAGCCCCACCTTCACAAGTTCAACATTTGACTCTCTGGGTTCCCTGACTGTCCCTATGTCAAGTAATCTCTAAAATACCAGTGACTCAGTATGGTCAAAAGCTCACTAAAATTAAACAGAAATTTCCCAGAGATTCCCACTATCATTTTTTCTAATGACAGATTGTGACCTCTAAGTTAATGCAAGCAGAAGTCACTTACTAATGGCAACTCCAAAATCTCAGCAGAAATACAGCTTGCAGCTGATTAACAATACTTTTGCAGCAAAGTACCACCACCACGAAACTGAAAGAATTCTTTGCTCATCACAATATCAAATGATGAACAGATCAGCACAAGGGCTTGAGTGATGACAAGGACAGTAGCAGAAGAAAGAGCAAGTATATTTTACGTTCCACTTCAATCACACTGTGTGTTGGGAATAGCCAAATAAAATGCCAGAGGTATTAAGTCTAAATTTCTGCAGCAGAGTCTGAAAAAGTGGTACTGTACCTTACTATCCATCAGTTACAAAGTCCTGCAAGTACTGCAGGACCCATCTTAGTGACATAGATCTCAATCAAAAAAACCCAAACCAAAACAAAAACCACACATACTCTTACACATGGCTAATTTAAGAATAGTAGCCCAAGCAAGACTCCTCCCATTTCTGGCTAGGCATATCTAATGCCTTAACAAATTAACATCACAGAGATGACTTTCCACTGGCCGCCAGAGATTTTTGAAGACACAACATTATTGCACAGAATCTTTTTAATTTATTAGGCACCAGGCACGATTAGTATCTTGTCATAATAGCACACATAGCATTTTACAGATGTTCAAAAACAAGTCCTTAAGTTTCTTCAGCACTAACATCATCAAGTTCCTGAGCTGATGAATATCATACCACCTCTACAGGGTTCAGTGGGATTCTGAAGTACAGAGTAACATGATAAATCTGTTGGTGCAAATAACCCAAGGGATTTCAGAGGACAACTACATAAAAAATCAGAAGTGTTCATTTATGAGAATGATCTAATGTGACACAGGATGCAGGAAAACATGCATCAGCTGTGTTCATTTGAGGAATTATTTTTTAATTAATACTTTTTATTCAAATAATGCAATTATAAAGAAGTACAATAATAAAGTTATCAGTCAAACTAGCATTTAATTTTCTTTTAATTACCGGTTTGCTATTTTTAAAATAAAAACCATGCAATCTGCATCCTTACATTAATGTCATAGACATCCTTGCTACTGCAACACATATACTTCAAGTCTATGAGCTCATGCAAGTCTCATGCATAGCATACTAATTACTCATACTGAAACATTAATAATAACAATATTTTCAAAATATATAGGGGAATTACCTGATCTTTGATAAGTTCTACTGCAGGTCTTTCAAGGTCCAGCTCATAACATAGCCTCATAAAGAGGGGCCCAAATTTAAAATTATGTAAGGCTGAGATTCCATTCTGTTCATGGTACCTATTGGAAAGATTAAAAAAAGTTAATCACACAGGGCTTGGAATTTGTCACGGCAAAACAGCTTTAAATAGACAGCAAGATCTGTATGTGCAGTGAGAGAGGCACACTTCTCTAATCTGCACCAGCGAGTAACATTTAGATAACAGGAGATTATTTTTATGGAAAAAATACTGTTTTGATCAAACTAATAAATTAACTAGTAATATGCAATCTCTTCTATTTCCAGTAAAGTAACCTGCATTAGATTAGTAATAGAATGGGTTTCCACCATGAAGATTCCCAGCTACTTTGCCTTCTATTCACAGAGCAATAGCACAGGAAGTTGCAGCAGTCTATTTTAGCAGCAGTATCTGCTAAAATACCTCAACTTTTTCTCTCCTACCCTAAAAAATAAATAAAAAGATAAAAATTAAGTGTTTCACTTTTTTCTTTATCGCTCCTACACTGGAATTACTGGGAAGGCTTTCATTCACAAAACCTCCTGACCTGCCACTGCTGGGACCAGACCAGTTTATAGCCAGGCGTGTCTTGGCTGGAAGATGCCACTGAACACACCACTACCTCTCAGCTGAGAGATGACGTTTCTATGTGGCTCACCATTCATTCTGCATACAGTAGGACACCACTTTGCTCCCATAGCTTGACTCTCCTTTGATCTGAGAGTCTCTGAAGGGTTGGAAGATCCAAATTAAATGAAAATACAGCCTTAGTTTAAGGGATTAACTATGCATATAGCCACTGAATTATGGCAAGCCCTCAACTGCAGACATAACCTGAGATGATTTAATAAAAGCAAAAAGATAAGGACAGAAAAGTGTTACCTGGATTGTTAAAAATACCTGTAAATAACTTTCCTGGCTAGTTCCACATCAGATGAAGTCTGACATAAATGCAATAAATTTTTTAATTCATTTTTGAGAATCATTCCGTTTTTCTTTAATTTTTCTTTAATACTTTTAAAATACGGATCTGAAAATAAAACACATTATAGCAGCATTCCATTACCTGTGTTGCATACTTGGTACCTGAAACATGGAGATTCAATGAAGCAGAAAGCTTGTTTTTCTCACCAAGAAAAATGCATAAAGCTTCTCACAGACAAGCATGCCTAGGTGTCCCCATGAAGTCATGTCAGACTTGGAAAACCAACAAGATGCTTATGTGAACTTAATTTCATTGTGTATGTTATGGAATATATCAGGTAATACAAAAATTTCAAAGAGGAAGGAAGTTTTGTAAGCGACATTTTCTGCCTTATGTTCTTTTTTTAAAAAGCAAGCAAACAAACAAAAACAATCCCACTCAGCATTCAAACGAGCATAAGAACTTATACTCAAAACTGTTCGTACAGAAGATTTAAATTCTTTCACAATTGATGCAAACACAAAGAGTCTCATACATAATCTATGTATTTCTATACATAGCCATAAACTTAGAGCTGCTTCTCTTCTCCCCCAAAAAAGAGGTTTCTCTATCCAGCACATTTTCCTATGACAAAGCAAGCACAAAGATGAGTCCTTCAGCTGGTAATCTCAAGGCTCTGATTCAGACATACACAAGATTAAAATCACATGTACCACCTGGCAGCCCCATTCCTCTAATGGTGCTGCCCCCAACTTGGGCAGGGAAGTGAACTTTTTTGTAGCAGTTGCTGGGTCACTGCTGTTTCCAAGCTAGTAACCTATACAAGAGGTGCAAAGTGAGCACCCTAGAGAAAAATACATTCAGCTACTGGATGCATATCTGTTGCTACATGCAAATACAAGTCCTTACTCAAGACTGAGATACAGAGCTGAATTCACCCTGAAGAATGTATATATGTAAGTATGCATAAATAATGGTTGTGATGTGTTCAAAGGTGTGCAGAAATTTAAAAAACACCTGGGATCTGAACTGTATTTGTAAAGAACACATAATAATTATTACAACTGCTATAGGTAATTGTTTAACTGCTGTAGTTAATAGTATAACTATTACAGTTAATTGTTGCAGTATAACTATAATAAATGATAGCTATTATATATTCTGTGTAACAGAATAGTTATTACTGCTTTTTCCATTTCTAAACCAAGTTTATTACTAGCCCTAATTACTTCATCTTTCAAGTATTAGACTAAACACTGAGTACAGAAACCATGAACACATACACACATACAACTAGGTGCTTAGCACATTGTTTTCATCAGTTCTCAGAGGCTACTATTTCTACAAAACAACAAGGTCAACTGTGACCTGTAAAGCCAAATATTTGGCTTCTACAAACCTGTTTTAGCAAGAGTGATTGACTCATAGCAATAAATTCAATGTATCTCAAGTACAGGATAATAATCCCCAATATGAGTACGTCCTCATCACAGCAAAATATAATAACATTATGACTTGCCACTGCCCAATCTAAATTCTACTTTTACTTAATATAGAAAAACTGTCACGTTGACTTTACCTCCCTCTCTGTCCCAGAAGACTAGTTTATATAAAACTAAATTTGATTATTTGTCTCTTCTTTGCCATACAAAAAACCTAGAATTAACTACATCCTTTGGAACCATTGTCAATTTGTATCACTAGAACACCTGCACATGATTAAAGAGGTGCAGGAAATGGAGTTTTACCTAACCTTTCTTAAATATTAAGGGCAGATTTATGTTTATATTTATGTTCCTTAAAGAAAGAAATTTGTATACACTTTAAAGAGCATGACAAAATCCCCATCAGAAAAAATCCACCGATCTTGCTCCTTCGTTAGTTTGGAAAACCTGAACTTGTTTTCATATTCTGAGTATGCATACATCATCTGGAATTGGGTGTACAACTGAGAACTTACATTAGGTAAAAGGAAAAAAATCTAAAAGAATAAGCTAACTAAATTTACAGAGCGAGTTAGAAGAGAATTACTGGCATAGGCCTTCTCTGGATAGTTAAGTAGCTGTTAGGCTTTGTATTAACTTTCTCTGCTGATGATATATTTGAAATAAGTTTTGTAGACTGAAACAATATTTTCTATTAGACTACTTGATGGACTTGCAAAAGCAAGGACACAAACATTTCAGGTCTTATGTGAATATCTTGCATACTTGAAAGCTTCTCCACATTTCCCAACACAGCCTTAACTAATACTGTTTCATTCTACGAAGCCTTAGAACTTCCAATAATTCTAGCTACAGAAAATTTGCAAGAGGAAGACATAAGTTGTTGCTTTAAATGCAGTCAATTGGTGTCATATTAATGACTTTGACTGTCTTGTTTCCTAGGACCCACACTAAAATTGAGAACGGTGATTATGAAATAAATACTAATACCTTTATTGCCATGAACTTCATTTCTAATTGCCACTTTCATCTGCTGAAATTCTTGTAACTTTATATCATCTTCTGTTAGCAGATACCGCTTCCCTACCATAAGAAAAAAAGAGGAAGGTTGAGTTTTACATCACACTGTTTTAATACTACTGAACTTTGCATTTATGAGTTACTGTTGTTAATTATCATGTGACGCCAGACCACTGGCAGCATGACACTAAAAAAAGACTGCAAAAATTGCAGTTGTTCACATCACTGACAAAAGAACCCGAGCGCTATGTCACAGCTTTCCACAGTTAATGTGTACAAGGATAAAGAAGTACATATTTATTGGATGTACAAAAGAACTAGAGACACCATTCCTCTCCACATCGCCAAGATACAAGAGGATTCTGCACAAGAATAAGATCTTCCTCCCCTTTCATGCTTTTATAATGATTTGTCTTGTCATCTCTTTGTTCACCACAATTTGCTAGTGGCACAGCTTCCTTTCCTCATGTGTTGTCCCCGTTATTGTAGAATGCATCGTTCTAGAAGCTCCAAATGCAGTACAAAGACGAAAAAGAAAAAACACAAAGCTTATTGTTTAGATTGTAGTAACATTCAGGAGACCTAGTCAAGTTCTGGTGCAGTACAGACATCAGACATAAGACAGTCACTGAGTCTAGAATCTCAAAATTAACTTTGGGTGCTAACCGCAACCGTACTGTGTTGCAAGCTCCTTTAACAAAAGTGTCATGCAAATGCTATTTGTGAAGTTTTTGCTGTCACAAAACCAGCTCTCCAGTAGATTTTATTTGCAACCAATGATTTTGTAACAGAAAGTCACTGTAACAGTTTACGTTGTCACAATCTAATCTTTTAAGTTTTTGGCTTCTTAAAAAAGTTATTCTAATCATGAAGGGACAAGAGCAAGTATTGACCTGAGTTAGGTTATTTATTCTCTGTCTGCATTTCCCTAGCAAAATGTAACAGGCCATGCAAATAAAAACACTTGTTTTCTATGCAAGCAAAGCATACTAATGACACACTTCATAAAATCTGAAAGAAAAAATCCATTAAATGGCACCTTTAGCCATTAAATTTAATGGAAACAGTTCCAGTGGGTAAATAAATACACTTTATCCAGCATGAAATTGGCCTGGATTACCCTGCCATTTACTTCCCACAGTCCTCCTCATGCCGTTTACTTCCCACAGACCTTCTCAGCTGGTCTAACACCAAAAGACCATCCCTGTCCTGGGCCTCTCCAGCGCTGATGCAGGAATCATGCTGGTGCCTGGGGTGGGACAGGCGCACCACACTGCATGGATACTCAGTGGTCACAGGCGGTGTCAGCAGAGAGCTTGGGGCAGCAGAATTTTACCCTTTGTGAATTCAATTTGCTGAATTCTACCGCTTCCTTAAATTCATACCTTACAGTGTTATAGAAACAAACGAGTGCAAAACCAAATAAGAGGGCCTCTGAGGAAAAAAGAGGGAGCTCGATATGATGGCTGGCACACACAGGTGGTGCAGGCCATCCCGGAGAACTTAACCAACCAACCTGCTTTACCTCAGACATGCCACAACCTTCTAAAAGG